ATCCTCTTCGCGCCGCGCAAGCGCGAGATGTGCAAGTAACGCTGCGCAACTGGCGATTAGTTGTGCCATCAAAAATGCGCTTAAAGATTGCAATTACCGGCGAAGCGAATTCGAAGGCGAAATAATGCACGAGAGATGCGAGAGAGAAAGAGAGAGACGGGGGGGGGAGAGGGGGGGGGAGGGAAGAGTTCTCAAGAGTTATCTTAATTAATCACGATTATGTCGCGGGCGATTATAGTCGTCGTGCACTTCGCGTCGCGTCGCCCACTTTCCAACGGCTGTATAATCACGAACATGACACAAATCCTGACTCGCGTATGATTTAATGCGCCTCGTGAGTACCGCTTGAATTTCGCAAATCTCAACCGGAATAACCGACTCGAGCGTCGCCCCGCGCGCGCTCCTTCTCTCTTTCTCCCGCGAGTGGGAACGATTTGCGGCTTGGACGATTCAACGGACTTGTGATAAAAACGCGGCTGCTCAATGATCCGACACGGCGATTTGAATTGATCGGCGGTGTCGATTCGAGACACGAAATCCCCTTCCTCGGGTCCCGGCGCGACTCCAAGATGAGCGATGAACGACGATGACGAAGGCGTGCAAGTGACGTATACCGTTCCGGCAGATAATGCAAACAGAAATTCCGTTAGTATCGCATAAAGCATCGGCGACCAGATTAGCGGACGGGGGAGAAAGAGAGGACGGCGATTGAAGGAGGTCGGCGGGCACTCTCGGACTGCATTCTCGGGGAAGCTGCGCTTTAACTACTTCGCGAACGAGTTAGCGAGCTGCGAAATGTTAGGAGCAGGCGAGTATTATGACTGCGCCGGGGACGAAAGAAGCGCACGACGAGGAATAAGTGAGCGCGCTCCCCGCGCTTTATCGCTCCTAATTCATTATTTTCCGCTGTAAAGACCTACGTAAGACTTTATGCGCATTAAAACTCCTCACTTGTCGGTCGTTTTATCGGAAGACCCCGTTACCCGGTGGTACTTGGTACCCTACCGACTCGCGCCCGACTTGGTCCCGTATTCAATATTATTGCTCGCGTAGTCGCTGCCGCCAACTGTGTTGCCAACAGTCGCCTCGATTCGAATCGCGGTATAAAGACGTCGGGCTGTATCAATTTTAATGGCCGCTCTTTAATTTCAGATTTCATCGCGCCGCCGATTTCTCCGTCTCGTTACTTACCCGATCGTGCGCGCTCGTCTTGTCTTGTTAAGTTGGATAAACGAACAAAATGGGGAACAGGTTTATAAACTCCTTACACAATCTCGCATTATCAGGCCGCGCGTGCGTTCAAAAATGCTTTTTGTCCGGTTCATTACTTATCCTGGCGAGATATAGATAGACACGCCTGATTCCGTTCCTTTCGCCACTCTATCCGCGCCCAGGAGTGCGGCCTGGAGTATCTAGACCATTGAGAGATCTTACGATCTCTTGCCCTTCCGTTCGTATATAATTTCTTCCTCTCGCCATCGCGCGAGCGCGCAGAGGGCCCGTAGTGGTGTATCTCCGATTTTTCTCAGTACATTAAATTATACTCGAGGGGACTGGTTGACGGCCACGAGCCCGCCTTGACCAGGCGCTTTCAACGGAGAACATAAGCGATGCAAAGAGTGTTTTACCCGTGATATGTTGTTAAGGACTTGTTAATTACAAAAGTGGCAGAACAGGATCGGCAGATAGGAGCGTTGACTTGTTACCGGTCCCGATAGAGGCGCTCGCTATCACGGCTGATCGCGATCTACGCCCCGACAAATCGACAAGTCGCGAAATTAGAAATTTCCTCTGCGTACCTCTGCGTGTCAAGCCTCCGCGTCTTTCGCATCTTTCAAGGATACGAGTAAGGATGAAAGTAAAAATTGAGATGTCGGAATATCGTGACTAATGTAAATTGGACGAGCGATGACGACACGGGGCTGCGAGCGAAATAGGTGTCGGATGGACTAATCGCGGACGCCGATTGTTTTGATTAGTCGTCGGAAATGATTTGCCGAGCCGAGTTAAATGTCACGCGCGTGATGATAACCGATATTGCGCTGTGTTCTCTCATCGAAGAGAACGTCCATCGGGATTGATCGATCTATCTACGCGCCGCGCGAGAGGTGCGCGGAAAGCGGCTCGGCTCGGCTCGGCTCGGCTCGGGCAAATGTTAGATCGCGGCTGCGATCCGTTGGCGGAATGACGAACGCCGCGGAGTACAATGCGATTGCGAATTCCGCGTGTCATTAGCCAAACCGCAAAATGCCCCGGCAGTTGCGGTATGTAGGGTGGGACTCTCCCGGCACAGTCGACGGACTTCTGCCGCTTTCTGCCGCTTTCTGCCGCGTGCATATATTCGTTATCGTGCACCGGCTTCGCGACACCGTTACGGTATATACTTGCGTTATTCCTCGATCTCTCGCAATCGACCGCGAACGGTTCGCCGCTACCATCGCTTATTTTGCGCATCGATCGACTCGCCCGTGCTGGTGGCCGTTACGCCAGCATTGATTACACGACGATTACACGCAATCGCGGGCCGTGTAATAACGTAACTTTCGCGAACGTTTTCACGTAGCTACAATTTTCCAGCGTTGGCTCATTTAGCTCGCGCTCTCCTATGCAGATATCTCATGCCATCATTGCGGCAAGATCGGACATCTGTAACTGACAAGTCAGATTCTTGCATCTTTCCAACTTTTCTTATCGCGTTATTATAATTGTCACTTTCTTTTCTGCATGCCGTGATATTACATTTTTCCGAAATATTTCAATCATATTGAATATGAGAATTTAATTTTATAAACTAAAATTGCAGCTGGAATTTTTAGATTGTTTTTTAGTATCTTTAAATGCATTATTGTGGTAGTCCGCTAGAATTAAAATAACGTAACGAGAGAATTTAATTTAATTTGTTATAGGCCATAACACGAAATTTTCTCTTAGCTGTTTCCTACCAAATTGTCTCTTTTCTATTATCCTCAGGTAGATATTACTTATTCCGCTGATGCAACGGTAACAAGACGTGATGACAATGTATACAGACGTGACTCGATTAACATAAAGTATTGTTTTGTTCTCGAGCTACCTCAGAAAATGGCGCACAAAGCCTGCATCGAAATAGTGGATTTAATTGTCATGCCGTGAATATCGCGTATACCGCTTTGTCATTTTATTGCATTAACTGAAAATGAGAAAGTGCATTGCATGCCGTTTGTAAATTTGCTTTAATGCGCCTTTGATATTTCTCTCAACAAGTACGGTTAAAGAAAGCAATATTTTGTCTTGAAAAAAAAAAAAATATATAATTTGAGAACTAGATTGCAGATAAAACGCGATGAGATACGACGTTGAATGAACGTCTTTAAAAAATATTGATGTGTTTAATAGTCGAAAGTTTTTTCAGCAATCTATACGACATATTTTTGGAATTAAAATTCGGCATGTAATGCGATTAGGGAAGAATCAAAGTGAAACAAAAGAATTAAAAACATAAAAATAGAATGTTTTATTATTCAGTCATATAGCTTTTATTCTAGAATAATATCTTTTTCTCATGATGTCGAACAGTTTGCGAAACATGATAACCGCTTGCGAGGAAAGCTAAAGAAGATGATTTTACGTTTGTACATTATATCTCGAATATTTGCAGCAGCACTTTAGTTTCCTTGCACATAACGCGCATTTTGAATTCGACTGTCGCATTTCGAATAAGATACGTAAGGTTTATTTCATCTTGCGTCGTCTGCACCCTGATGCTTTCATGATGTTGAAGTTATTACCAAAATGTGATTGAGCCATCTGTGCAATGAATATAAATGCACTGTCTCGCCGTTATACGTTTATAAAAATATATACAATTTATATTTCGTGTATACCAAGTTTGTATATAAAAATATTAAAATTTTTAAATTTAAAATTAAAATTTCGTTTGTTGATTTAACTCTGACACTGAGACACCGTCGAATTCAAGAAATTCCACGCGGCATGTGAATTACGGTTTCTTAAATTAATCGTTAATCAACAGCAAGCGAGCTTCGTTGTTACACTGTCTCCGTTTTTCGTCACACTCGCGTTATAAAACGCGGCGCACCCAAGTCATATAAAAAGTCTTTTATCGATTGGAACGAAATAAATAAGACTAAAGTAATATTTTACAATGTCCGCGTCCAAAATTTTTCATTATCACCGTGGAGCGTCAGCTTTAGCCTGACTGAGATGCTCGTAAGCTCGTGTTCCTGGATGAAATTCGTCATCAACCAGAGGGAAGAGAAATGTAAATACAATTAAATATACATAATAATTATAATTAGGAAGTGGTATCACTGTTGGCGCAGCGGCTTGAGCCAAGCTATCTAAACAATCAAGTCGAGGTTCAAACGGGTCCCGAGACATTCTTCTCGGCTCGATATTTTAACTCTAAGGGTTGATCGTGGAGGCACCCACATGCGTGAGATAGCTGTCGAAATTAAAATTATTACACCAATGCGACATTCGGCACCCGAAAAATCCAGCGTGTGGTGTTGCCGATTTCGTGAAACTATTCGCACTGTAATCGACAAGTAACGTTGCCGACTTCAACTGTAAACGAACGTGCACATGATGATGAAAAGCAGTGAATTTTTTAAATATGCGGGGCCGCACGCTGGGCTACCAGAAGCGCGACAGGCTGCAGGCACATTTCTCGCGTTCCACGATCACGGCACGATCACACATTCACATACGTATACGCACCCAACGTGCACATTCGTCGCACGTTCCACGAGCCGAATAACGGTGCCGGTCCGGTCGTGATTCGCGACCGAGCGGACGACGTCCTATTTACAACGAGTTTCAGCTAACCACTCTCGTCCAGAGACGCGCTGCAACAAATTTACA